TTTGAAGACGTGGCGTTAGAAGAAGTTTAAGTTTAAAAATATGACTCTCCAAAGGAATTTCAATCATTGTCCTGTTGATATTTGGCTCTGTTAACTAATGAGTTTGCCTACCACTGGGCTAGAAGGCAAGGCCACTCCTTGGACGGGCATCGAGGCCTTCTGCAGTCTGGAGTGCTGCAGGCCTCCGCTCTTCTGATGGGAAGAGCTGACTCCAATCAGACGGATCCATGCACAGCCCCTCAGCACTGTGTGCACTGTCTCCTCCACACATCTACCCTGTCGCTCACCTCACCACGTTCTGCTCAGGCCTCCCCATCCTAGTTCAGCCTGGCCCACACCTTCTCGCAGTCCAGGAGCCCTTGGGGGATGCCTGACTGATGGTTTAGGACCGCTCCCCTTGAGGAGTGGGCCTAAGCTGCAGTCTGGCCTCCTCTGCAGGAGGTGACCAGCAGGGCGATGGGAGGGGAGAAGCGGGGAAGGGGAGGGACAGCGCTGGCTAGCGGCTGGCGAGTCCCTCCCTGATCGCCCTTCCACCACCACCGGTTGCCACCAGTCCTGTCCCCACTCTCTGCCTGCTGGCTGGCACCAGCCTTGGCTGGCCTGGCATCATCGGCTCGCCAGCCCCACTCCCTATTGACCAGTCGTTCCACTGTTTGGTTGATTTACATATTAGGCTTTTATTATATAAGGATATGACCGTCAGTAGCTTCCCCAGGCATGGTTCTCCCTGTTCAGTATGTGATTCTGGTTTTGGAAGTTCCCCTGCCGGCGGAAGGGTTTCCCAGCTCTGTTTTCCTTCCTGTAGATACCCAGTGAGTGGCTGTTTGTTGTCCTGGGCTTTGCCCCAGTATTCCCAAGAAATTTCCATGTAAGTAGGCCAATTGCTATGCTTTTCCTCCTTATAAAGAGGTAGGTATTAATGGCAGCTAAACATTTTCCATGTCCAAGATACTAGTAAGCCAAGACGCCCCTGGTAAAGCTCACTGCAGTCCTGGGTCACATGTCTGGAGAAGGGAATTGCTTTTCTTAGGCTTCAAAGCTACTAGTAAAAGGTTGCCCTTCTCCAGTGTATATTCCCAAACTCACAAATGGCTGAGTAACAACACGGGAAACTTACTAATCTACCTCTCAGCCCGTGTTGGATAAGGGATTTAAGTTTTCAGTGGATTTTTACATCTCATTTTCCCCTCACCGGTCACAGTTAATCCTGAGTTGCCGTCTCTTTACAGATAAAATGCCATAATCAAGTTCCATCAACAGGAATGGTGTGGGAGTTAATGAGTAAATGGGCCAAAATTATCACAAGAGTCTTGAGTGGAAGGTGCCCTGCTTTTGCTGTTATTAATGGGAGGCAGCTCCTCGGTTGCGGGTCTGAGGGAGAGCACAGGCAGCAGCCCTGACCTCACTGACGGGCCACGCAGAGCGGGTCTGCCCCCTTCCCCAGGGCCAGGTGCCAGGGAAACATCCAGCCCAGCGCCAGGACCGTGTGGCTGAAATTCAGAGTGGACCCCAGGCAAGAAGCTTGGGGGAGGAATGAGTGACAGGCCGGCCTGATAAAGGGAACATCTAGTGATGTGAGCGGGCAACCACAAACCAGACGTATGAGTAGGTGATTTTCGGCCTGGCGGCGTTAGCAGCCGTACCCAGACTCAACCAGGGATGAGCCGTTCCTATATACTTGAGAAAAGCCTACCTAACTCACTGAAGAATACCTTTGAAAGAGCCATTTAAGCAGGGCAGGGAGCTCAGTTAAGTCAAGCCCCCTGCCCAGGTATTCATGAGGTAATTATAAATGTCTGTAAGTTGTCTTAGACGCTACCTTCCACTTCCTATAATTTAGATTGTTCACTCCATCATGTGATCTTTTAACATGATTCCATGTTTCTTTTCTTTCTTATGATTCAGAAAGCAGAGGTTTTCAGTCAATATTAATTTTCTTTGAGAGATCTTAAAGGGCTCTATTTCCACAGAGACCCCTAAAATTATTATTTTCAAATGAGAGTTATTCTTTTTTCTCTGTAGCCTAGAAGATATGAAATATATGTAACTGCAGTGCCAAAATGTCAAAAGACTGAGATAGGTTGAAAAGAGAAGAAGAAAATGCGCCAAAAAAAAAAATCCCTAAAGCCACCATGCAGTCCAAAGCCTAACAAATCCCTGGCTCACATAAATACTGTGACACGCTATAATTAACTAGTGACTCCTCTCAGAATGAATAATAATGCAATTATTTGCCAAAGGCAGTGAAGAAGGGATCGTTTCTGTTTTTTAAAAATGCCTGCCTTTCATTTCTGTAGGAAGAGAAAAAAAACAACACAAACCCTGGATTAATTTACATAATTATGAAAACTACACAAATTAATCCAGGGTGACCTGCAATGTCACATCACACTATATGATAATTCTTTCACTTTTTTTTTTTTTATCAGGACCTTATAGTTTTTAGTGGTTTGAGGTAGCAATAAACTAAGTCACTGCCATGTTTAAATTATATTGGTTCCCCGAATCTGCACCACAAAATATAAATAATAGCCTGGCAAACCCATCTTTTCACAGTTGGAGTTCAATGCCATTGAACTTCCGAGGGCCAGTGCTGCTTCCTTTGTGCGGCCACAAAGCAGAGGAGGAAGGGCCTTCGCTCCCCCAGGCCGCCTCTCCTTCTCCAGGGATCCACTTCCCCTTGGCACAGAGTTAGGGAGGGTGTATGAGCATGAGACCACCCCTCTCCGTGTGTGAGTGTCTAGAACAAGGACCGTTTCTTTAGCTCCACCAGCCGCCCGCCATTCTGAATTAGGTAATTAAGTCAACAAGCATTTATTGAAAACCTGCTCTGACGCGCTGTACCAGGTACCAGGAAATCGACATGAAAAAGCCATGCTGTTGGTGAGAAGGTTGTAGAAAAGTCAAGATATAAACTAGCAAGTAGAACCGTTAACAATGCAGTGAATGCCACCAAGGAGCCCATTTAAATATGCACACACACACACACACACACTCCTTCGCTTATACAAGCACACAAAACCCCTCTGTCGGTGAAGATGGGTTTCTACAAATTCCGACCCTTGACAAGTTCTTGATCCCATTTCAAGCAATGGCGTGATCCCATAGCTGTGGCCACCTGGCACCGTCACCGCTAAGGCAGGCAGCCAGGCCTCCGTGACAAGCATGTAGAGACGGTCACCTCTATCCCAGCTCGCTGGCCCTGAACAGAGTGCAAACAGCCGGAGTTCCTAAAGCAGTTCTCTTGCCCCCAAAGAGGGAAGTGCATCTGTGCCTTTCCCTCCAGCCTCTTTAGCAGAGGGCCAGATCGTTCCGATACGGTGGTCTGCAGGAGGACACTCTGAGAAACACTGGGGTGCAGACACCCCTCCCTCTCCATCAGCAAACCAATCGGATCCAGCCCCGATTCCCAGGAGGTGAGACCCCTGCCAGGGGTGACCACCTGAGAATGCAGAATTCTAGGCTCCACCCCTGAAGCTTGCCCATGAATCAGTATATTTTGTTTTATTTATTTATTTTATTTTAATATATTTTCTTGAGTTTTTTACAGAGAGGAACAGAGAGGAATAGAAAGTTAGAAACATCGATGAGAGAGAAACATCGACCAGCTGCCCCCTGCACACGCCCTACTGAAAATGTGCCCGCAACCAAGGTACATGCTTTTGGCCAGAAGCGAACTTGGGAACTTTCAGTCCTCAGTCCAACGCTCTATCCACCGAGCCATACTGGTTAGGGCATGAATCAGTATATGTTAAAGTTTTCTGGAAAATTCTAACACACACTCCATGGCAAGAGGAAAAGGCTGGGTTTTACTTTAAACATCCGGAGAGGGTCCTCACTCCACATTGACTATCTCTCTGACCTTATAGAATGTCAGCAGTCTGTAAAAGGCTGTAGTGTTGATGAAATAATGCCAGGTATGCAAAGAGCCCGGCAGGTAGCGAGCTGTGTGCTTTTATCAGTACAGTCTGTGCCCCGCTCTAAGGAAGATACACAGAAGTAAAATATGTACTTCACCACTTTGAGGAGCATATATTATATTTAGAAATATATTATGACTATTGGTAAAAATGTTAAAGATGAGTTCATATTCGAAGAGAGTAAATATTTGAAGGCCAAAAACAACACAATATTCTGAGTAACAAAGTACATTGTACAATATAGGGAATTATAAGAACATAGAAAAAAATCATTAGAATCTTGCTTTAAAAAATTCTTCTAATTCAGATGGCCTACTTCTCATTCTTTCACCCCATTTGTATTTATACTAAGAAACATACTAAAATTATGAGAGATAGTCAACTAACTATGTAAAAGTGAACTAGAAAAGAGCAGGGGGTCTGGGGAAGGGGCCAAGCGGTAGGCCTCAGTGGGCTTATGGAGCCCCCAACACAATACACAGAGTTGTTTGTGGGTATTTCTGAGGAGAGATCCACACCTTTTGTTTGATTCTCCAGGGCCTGGTGGCCCCCCGAAATGTTAAGGATCACGGAGGATTCCGGGTTAGCACATTGGATGCGCATCGCCTGCATGCCCAGGAAATAGAACTTCTGATTGCATTTCAGTCTCCTTGTTTGCTTCCGGTTAAATGTCACCGGCACCTTTCCCTCGGGCTCTCCCCACCCAGCACCCCCAGGAGGGACCAGCAGAGGGGTTCGCTGAAGGAGACGCACAGCACTGGCAGGGCTGCTCAGCCTGGGTGGCTGCTGCAGACTCAGGGTCAAGGTCATGTGCAGGCTTGGGAAGTCCCCGCTGCCGGGATCCACTGATGGTTTCTTTCTGAGTTTTCCCTGTGTATCTGTCACCCACGGCTCCGTCGTTTGAAATGGTTGTGATTGATTCTTTTTTTGTATCAGGTAGAAAGTTCCTTCCCTGGAAGGAAACACTTCCGTTTGGCCAACTTACTGTTTGCCAACCTCACCATTCTTCCATGTGGTGGTGTGCTTACAACGTGGTAGTGTCCCCATTGACGTGACGTGTTTTGCTCTCTCTCCCCTTAGGTGTGTGTGCAACATTGACTGTTCTCAAACCAACTTCAACCCCCTCTGCGCCTCCGATGGGAAGTCCTATGATAACGCCTGTCAGATCAAGGAGGCGTCCTGTCAGAAACAGGAGAAAATCGAAGTTCTGTCTCTGGGTCGATGTCAAGGTAATGTTCATAATAAAATTCATCTCAAAGGCTGGTTCGGCTCAGTGGATAGAGCTTCGGCCTGAAGGGCCCCGGGTTTGATTCCCAGTCAAGGGCACATGCCCCATATGGGCTCCATCCCCAATAGCAGGCATGAAGGCAGCAGCCGATCAATGATTCTCTCTCATCATTGATGTTTCAATCTCTCCCTCTCCCTTCCTCTCTGAAATCAATAAAAATATTTTTAAAAATTCGTTTCAAAGGATGTTTTAGTCTTTGCATAGAAATGAAAAGTGAAGAAAGCTTCTTATTATGCAGCTTTCATTCCAAAAGGCAGTTCTGATGTGTAATGGCTAGTAGAGTCGACTGTAGTGTTTGTGTTGATTATAAGCTTAAGGGCCTGTGGACAGAGGCCCATATCTTTGTCTAATGAGTCTGTACCGTCACCAGGACATAAACACAGAAACACAAGAGCCAGTTTTCAGAAGGTGACAGACATTCTCCCTGCAGAGGACAAAAAGAAAGTCAAAATCATTTTAGCAAAGAATCTTTGAAATTAAAAGTAAATAATACCACTCATATATTGATTTAATAGAAATATTTCCAGTACATTTTTAAGGCAGAATGTTCTATTTTATTTCTTGTACAGAAATATTTTGTTAATTGTTGTCTTGTTATTTTTTTTTACCCAACTTATCTTAGTTATATTGATAACCTTCTCCTTGCCTTAAAATTTAGAAAACTGGTACCATTCTATTATTCGCTCTCAAACTGAAACTGACATTGTCAATCTGTCTTTAAATCATGGTTGCTTAGAAGTGTAGTTGTAAAAATACCTTAATTGCAATGAAAGTGCTATGGGGTGTTGGGGGGAGTAATATAAAGTTGACATTAGATGTTAAGAAATAGTTAACCAATCTTTATTGCTAATGTTTTAACACAGACAATACAACTACAACTACTAAATCTGAAGATGGACATTATGCAAGAACAGATTATGCAGGTAAGTAACATTTTCTAAGACAAGACGTGAGCATGGCTATAGATAGTCCTGAGGATTTATTGTTCACCATTGGTCCTGAGTTTTATGTTGCAGTGTTTCTGAAGTGCTAGGTCTTTTCCTGCTTTGTTCAATCTTTCAATAGGCAAGAGTGAATTTTTTGAAGTAAAGAAGACCCTTTTTTTTTTTTTTTGCCAGAGTTAAAGCAATTGTCAAAAATGTCAGTAAGATATAATTAACTTGTTTTGACAGTGCAAATGGTACAAATGACAAAACATTTATCAAATTAATGGGTATCCGTGGAAATTAATGCCATTTTTGGCAGTATATTGTAATGAATGCAAATGTTCTCGTTTGAATTTTCATAAAAGTCAACAATAAAAATGTTTGCTAGGCTCTGAAAAAGCTGGAAATAAGGGACAGCTATAAATAGTAATGCAGGCTGTCTCTATTCAGAAGGGAAGTTAAAAAGGTATGTATAATTTGTTTTTAAAAATAATAAATTTCTTTAATTTACTTTGAAAGTTAAATGCGTCTTCTGACACAATGCAAAATTACAAAGCATATTATATAAAAATGTAAATTTTACTTAGCAATTATAAGGATATAATTTTAAGGAATATTTCTACCAAATATAATTTTCCTAGGTTGTAAAATAATTTCTAGATATTCAAATGGGACTAAACAGATCCTTGAATTTTATACAGAACTCAGGATTAAAAATATAAAAATGGAATCAAAAAGTTGATTACAATATGTGGATTTTTTAAAATATTTTTTCACTTAGCTATTAAGAACTTATAACTAGATTTATGGCTAATATTCAATAAAAAAGGCTATTGTTATTGCTTCTTTTTTATGATTTGCTAAAGCTTTATTATATCTTACAAAGCTATTATTAAGAACTGCTGAAAGAAAGCATTTAGTAATTTGCTTTGAAAATTATACACAAGTAAAGTGGATTTTTATAATTTTTTTTTTAATTTTGACACTATTACAGATGTCCTCATACATTTCAAACTATGCACTACCATTTTTTTTGAAATTGCATTTCCTTCAACAATGTTCCTGATGCTATATTTATATACAAAGTCAATCTTGATGAAACTGAAAAAAAAAATGGTCAATCATATATATTACTTACAGATACTTCATACCTTTTAGAATTTAAAAATAGTAAGACTTCTTTTAAATTTTTTTATTTTTATCTAAATGTTTTTGAACATGTAAATAAAACTTTTCACCTGATAGAGGTTTAGAATTGTCATAGGCAGTGATACATAGAAAAACGTTAGTTGTACTATTGTATAGCTGTTCCCACGGTGTCCAGGAGAGATATTAATAAGTGTTCCTTGAAAAGAATTATTCATGATCAGTACTTTGGGGAAGGGCACAGATAAACAAATTATTTTTTTTTTACCCAGGATTCCTCACAACTCCTATGTGTACCATAAACTTTTTAAGAGAAATGCATCCTTTATTATTTCTTTATTTACTCTTTTTTTTTTATTATGGAGAATTTCTAATCAGCACAAAACACAAACAAATGTAGGCTGGAGAGTATGGTGAACCCACATGTACTCAAACTCAGTAGCACCAGCCCATGCATGGCTCTCCAATCCTTATTCCCACTTTTATCATTTTTCCCACTTTCAAAATATGTGGAAATGAATATCAGAAATGGCATCATTTCATCCACAAATACTGTAACCTGCATCTTTAAAAGATCAATCCTTTTGTAAGCAATATTATAATGTCATCACACCCAAAATATTTATGAATATATCTTTATAATATATAACTTTTATCAAATGTATATGATGAATAACACTTTTTTAAAAATAGTTTATTGATTTTTAGAGAGAGAGGAAGGGAGATAGAAAGAGAAACACTCATGTGAGAGCACATCTATAGACTCTGTCCTGCATACCTCCTACTGGGAATCAAGCCAGCAGCTAGGGCTTGTGCCCTGACCAGGAATCGAAACTCCTGATGCCCAACTGAGCCACACTGGCCAGGGCAATAACACATTTTTGGTGTGTGGCAAGTTTTACAGTAGCAGTGTTCCCAAGAATGCATTTTAGAATATGCTGATCTACAGGAAAATATTAAAAGTAATAAAGGATAATAATAGAAAACGAAGTTCTGAGGCTAATAATACATATTTTATATTTTAAATGAAATAAAATTGTATTTCTATAGCTTTATTACTTACAATAACTATATCTTTACAGTGTGATAAGCCACCACCTGGCACATTTAATTTTACTGTAGCCTAAATTATTTCTAAATTTTATAAGGATCTCATTTCCATTCCAGGAGTAGCTTACTACCTGTGCTTAAAATATTTTAGTACATGTTTTGAAAACTAATTCATATGAGGAGGAAATCTTCAAAATTTAATGTTCTATGAATATTTCCCCATTGACCCATCTATCATTAGACTCAGGGGAAAATCAAACCTCTTCCTGAGAATTTTGTTCCTGAAACAAAGAACTCTTCATATTGATGATGGTCAACACATAAATAGATGTGTTTTGTTGGGGGTTAAATTTTTATTCCAAAAATAATTCATTTTTCAGTTTGGTTTCAGTCTCTGATCGTCAGTGTCAATGCTTTTGACTGACATTTTTTTATCTTATCACTTTATCCAATGTGAAAAGGAAAGAGAATTTATCTTTGAATACAGGCAAACGAAAACTGCTTAGTGTCCTTCAAAGTCTTCTAGTTTGACATCAGATGTACTTAAGGTTAAAGTGAACTTTAACAACACATATTTGTTGAAATCCTGGTTTAAGACAGAAATGGAGATAATGTCAATTGAAGCTTATAAATCCTAATTAAACATTGATTGCATACCTAACAACTTTCCTTGAATGTCATTTAGATGCCTTTATCTTTCTTGGTGATCTTATTAAAATGCAATGTATACCCCTTTTTAGACATGAGTTAAAAAATAACCATGTTCCTCAACATGTCCAAGCTTCCGAGAGTATTAGCGTTTTCCTGAATTTTGGAACAATTTAAGCTTTGGAAAAATTTAAAAGAATCAGCTGGAGATTCTTTTTTTTTTTTTTCCTTTTCCCTTATGCTTCTACTGAAAATGTGCATGCTCACATATCCCAAATAATTTTACTAAAACCTAGAATAAGAGTAAGTAACATAAGAACTAAAATAAGTTGCCATGATTTTACAACACACCAATAATTTTATTTTTATTTTTTTAATAACAACAACACGGAGGTTGACAAATGGAGAACATGCCGAGGACAGAACAGCGTGTCCTCTTCATGTCAGTTTCACAGGCTCCACGCCCTTGGGGGGGGGGGGGGACAGGAAGTGTGTGACTCATATTCCTAGAGTCCTCCCTGCTCACAGCTCCTTCCATGCCAGTCTCTTCCCTTGTTAGACAGAACCTTCAGGACTCTCCCACCAGGAAGGAAGTGCTGATATTAACACTTGCTCATTGGGTCCGTCCATGTCACCAATACCAGAGGTTAAAAACCTAGTCCAGTACCCCACACACAACCTTTTACCTTCGGAGCCGACCTTAAATCTATCAACCCAACAACGCGCGTTTCTGATTACAAAAATGGAAATACACTTTGAAGAAAGCCTACATCTTAAAGATGCTCTTATTTTTTATATCATTGAAAAGCAAGACTCCAGTAGGGACCAGCAGGGGGTGATTTACAAAACAAGAACAACAAAAATAAAAACAAAATAAGGAAGCCTCTGCCTCCAAAGAGAATACCCACTGGGTTGGAGCTGTGGATTCCATGATCCTGGCAAGTGCAGCCGGCACCAGGAAAACAGCATTTTCCAGAGCATCCCTGAGGCATTGCTTCCTGGTTGTGTCTGACTGGGTCTCTGTTCTGCCCTTTAAAGAAACCCAAGGCCTGAGTGAGCCCTGAATGGGGAGCTGTGGATCCCATTGTTCCAGGCAGAGGGACAGGATCCTTGTCAGATAAGCTAAACAGCCCACTGAATGGCATTCTTGGCTCCAAAATTTGGGCTTAGAGTTAGGTCTTTCTCTTCACTTGCAGAAAGGTTTAAAGAATACAGTTTATCTTTATTTTATTTATTTATAATCTTTATTGTTGAAAGTATTATATAGGTCCTCCTATACCCTGTTAACCCTCCCAGGCCATTCCCGTGCCCCCCAGGCCATCACCACTCCATTGTCTGTGTCCATGGATGATGCATACATGCACACAAGGTAATTGGTTGATCTCTTCCCATCCGCCCTCCCCTGCCTTCCCTCTGAGGTTTCACAGTCTGAGATACAGGTTTTAAAGACCACAAAGCCAGGACTTGTGAGGGTTTCCATTGTTAATATTAAACTTTCTGGAAGTTTTAAAATAGCAATTGTTTTACATCTCTTAAGTCTTGCAGTTGAATATAGATATATTCCCACATGTCTTACAGTGGGGAAAAGGTGAAGTCATTTATTTTGTTTACATTATCTCGTATATATATTTTCTTATTTTGTTGTTTTTCTACCTAAAAGTTTGGTCATGCTTCATAAAAGAAGTGGCTACATATTTTTTGGGTGCAAACATACTTAATTTCCTAACTTAGATTTAAAAAGGAAAAAAACATGAAGTTAAATTATTTTGTCTTTTATCACCTGGAAAATAAAGTGTGTTTTCTTTTATGACATTCTGTATCAATTTCCTAAAGTATTGCCAGGGGCTTATAATTAAAACATACTCAATAAGAATGCTTAAAGAGAAACTGAAAACATAAAAACAGAATTGTCGAGGGAAAATGAATATATGGACAACATAGGCTGTTACGAGTGACTGCATTTGGCCCTGAGCTTTCTGGCCAATGCAATGGCTGAGTCCATTTCTCCAGGAAATAGCCACAGAGCCCCTGCTGGATGCACCCACCCTCCTGGCCTTGGGGAGGTGAGCTCGTCGCCCAGGTCTCTGCTAAATGGAGCCTGGCTTTCCGCTGTCTGAGAAAAAGAAATATCGGTGCAGAGACCAAAGGCAACA